TATATATATATATATATATATATATATATATTAGTTTAAAATGTAAATTAAATATATTTTTATAATTATATCATCCACTCGCTATGGTATTTAACAATTAGTTTTACCAAAAAGGTGCATTATGAAAAACGTTTAACGAAATTATCGACTAAGAAAGAGAACGAATTTGATATTATTTGCGAAACACCGTACGAACGTGATTATTTGGAGGATATACTAGAGACGGAACGTAAGAGAGATGATAACGCTCTGAGGATTTCCCATCGTTTTCTGCATGAAAATGTAAACGCAGAGCAGAGGAGGATCGTCGTGGGATATATTATTCGTCTTGGCGTAAGTAATGTAGTATAGTTATGGACATTTGATGTTAACCCGTGAGAGTGACACCTCGGAGTAAATTCGCACTCCGGTGTTCTTTATGAATGCTCAAACACGGGATGTGTTCCTTACGGATTAATATAGCGTTAAAAATTGAAAAGTGGTATAAATATTCGGTTTGGGGAGAAAATTGTAAATTTACAAAAATAATTTTTATTTTCATTAATAACAAAAACAAGCCACTAATCTCGATCTGTGTTGACCATACGTATAATTATAGATATTTTCAGGTACACTGCTACTATTCGTCGCACGTCATTTATCAGACTATCAAGCTATTCAATGTAACTATTGATCGAATTCACATGAAGACTGATAATATACAATTAATGGCTCTGGCGTGTCTCTGGATAATTCTCAAGCAAGATGCACCTGGCGATAAAATACCATCGGTAATAAAACTTTTCCAGAGGAAAGATTGAAAAAGAATGTTGATTAATTAGAGAGAGAGTTAATTAAAATATATTATAATTTTAATATAAATTTGTTAAATATCTGATGAAATCAAATAATCTTTTTAGGCAACTGTAATACTGCAATTGGCGAAAGATTTATACATTAATCAAGAGAAACAGTTGTTAAAGTATGAGAAGAAAATTCTCTGCGCTACTAAATTTAATATACGATTCGCCGATCCGTTCTCATTACTTTCATATTATGTATTGAATGTAAATCAAGACAGTCAACGTAATATTATTAAACCGAATGATATTCCGTGTGTCTACTTTTGCAGTAGTTATATGGTAGTTATAAGCACAAAACTCTATATAATAGCGATTCAATTTTGAACACACAAACTGTGCACTGAGAAAAATAATCTTTTTTTTACAGATCGATATATCTATGCTAGATGAAAATTTATGTGAAATTCCGGCGTTTATAATAGCAATAGCTGCAATAGACTTGTCGCTTTATTTTATATATTTGAGCAACGTTAATGTGGATGAAAGATGGTATCGAGTTTGGAGAAGTAAACAATCTCTCACAGAGTAAGGAAAAGATTAGCGAATGAGCAACACAAATATCTTGTTTTCTGTGTCAAACGGATATACTCGTAACATTTTTCTTCAACAACAAATATATATTAATTTTACAATAAAGAAAATACAATTTGGTACAATCTCTCTGCAAGAAGATATTAATTAATTTAAAATTAATTAATTTAGAATTAGTTAATGAAATAAATTAAATATAATGTACCTAAATTTTTATTTCAGTTGTAAATAATACATAAATTATTTCTATTTTTATTACAAATAAAAATAGCCATTAATGTTAATGTAACAATACTTGAGTATTAATTAATTGATTAGGGATTAATTAGCTTAAAATTCATAAAATATACTCTAATTCACAGTTCATTTATTTTTAGGTGGGAAGAAAGAATGCTGAATTCTACGAAGCGGATTATGATACAACGTGCAGAATATAAAGATTTTAGTTCGAATGTTGTACACAAAAAATACATGCGTAGCAAACACGGTCAAGTTACTAATTTTCTTCACAGGAAACTAAAGACTGTCGTAATTGAAGATTAGACAATGTCAGTTAGAGATATGGAATGTTAATGGATCCCTTACTACTCGACGAGAAAAGTAGTAGGAAATTCATTAAAACACCAAATCATTAAATCTCTGGCTGTCACATTGTCAATATCAACGGAAGAACATTTGCAAAGCGTAAAATGATCGTGATCAATAGCGCCAAAAAGGCACACTCATAGGATAATTATTGAATACTGTTTAAATATATTATTTATTTTGTTATCAAACACATTTTATATTTAGATTACATTTATTAAAAAACAAAATTTTTGTAAACTATAAAAGATACATGTGATAAATGTTTACGTTTTATAGATTACAAAATGTTGTTTTCTTATATTGAAAATATTTATTTGAAAAAAAAGTTAAAACATATTTAAAAAAATTTTATAAAGATGATATGGAAAGAAATATAATGTATATGCTCGGAAAATATATATTTTTATTATTAAAAATTTAAAGAAGCAAGCATTTGATTCAAGTCTCCACTCTCAGCATTACTCCTTAAAAAATTGATCGTGACACTGAAATGAGTAATCCCTATCAGGGTAATATGCTACTTATCAGTGCATAAACATAAGCGAGGTTATCGACAGTATTTTATTTATTTAACAGTCCTCTCGAGTTATTGATATATGATTTAATAATGATTTTGCAGCAATAGCAACACAGTAGCAATATCACATATACTAAAATGAAAAGCTATCAAGTAGTGTTCAATTCTTAATCGTCAAGTTTTAATGAGAGCCGTAGTCCCGTTGAATATCTGCCCAAGAATTCCATTTGTCCCATGTGCTATCAATGGATATTAATTCCTTCACGTCATCCTATAAAGATATAGTGACGTAATTTTTATTTTTTTAACAAATAAACAACTATCTTAATTAATTGTATACAATGTAATTGTATATCATCAAGTAATTTCTTATGACGCTATGTATAATAAATTATCTTTGAATTTTTAATTTAAAATATGTACAATTAATATAAAAACATAAATAATTAACATAATTTTACATTTTTTTTACATGTAATAGTATATTTTTACTATACATGCTACACTTAATAGTCGTACAATATTTAATATTTAATATCCTATTTGTGATACATTTAATATACAAATTCGATTAGATTTTAATTATTACTGTAGCTAAATAGGAAAGGATAATTTTACCTTGAATAATACGTTGGGCTTGTCACCCCAGGCACCAAAGAGGTGTAACAGATCCGGATTTTTAGAGTACAATGTACTCGCAGCCAAAATGCCATGTTTTAATTCTTCGAGGGCGTTCGGGCTTTTCCCGGCAGAGCTAACAATTATTCTTGGTGGCTCCAAACCTAAATTACAACGTTCCCATTCGTTGATTGGTGCTTGACCGCCATTTGGACAAACTAAGACGTAATCTTCGAGTTTTCCAGCGGCATCCTTTTCGTTATCTGTAATTGGATATATGTATATTGTATATACATATATATATGTATATATATAACGTCCAGAAACGACAGTTTACAAGTATATAACAGGGAAGGGCATTTAAAACAGGTCACCTGAATAACTCGCTTGTTTTTGACAATAGAAGAAAAAGTGTCAAACAAAAGTTGCTTGGTTTCGAGGGGTACATAATGTGATGTCAATAATTGTTTTTTTGGTGGAGGCGCTAAAAAGATATGAAGGTCACCTCCACTTTTTTAAATGGAATTATGTAATTTTTTTTAGATAACGTGATTCCTTTAATTATTTTGCATATAAAAGTATTAAGGTAGAGATACCAAAAAAC